CCCTGGTCGGCGTCCGCGGTTATTTTAAAATAACACGCTTAACGAGATCTTGGTATTTGATCTGAGTCTGGCCACTGGCCTATACGCACTAACCAACTACGCGGGAACAGTTATGGGCACTCGATGTCGTGGTATCAGCCGAAGCCTTCTTGACGTCAGTGACTGAGCGGCGCGTGCCCGGTTGGACTGGAACGCCTGTTCTTGTATAAGGGAGGCTAGGTCTCCTCACCGGCCGCGTACGCAACGTGCAGGTGTGCAATGGACGATGGACCCAGACCCCTGCGCCATAGGATTTAGACCGGCGTGCTCACCTCTCTGTTGTGCCTAGGTAAGACTGCGACGTGTTGATCTTCCGAGGCCGGGTATGACCCAGGAAACTGTGTCCGGACAAAGGGGATCGAGCGTGTTGGGAAATATGGTGCACCCCTGCAGGGAAGTTAATCTATTCGAATAGCCTGATCTTCGGTAACATGACGACTTGGAGCTGTACCTTACCTTATGACAACTAGAACCGGATACTTAATAAAACACACCCTTCCAAGTGCCAGATACAACCCGGTGATCGCTCCCTCACGGGGCGACGAGGGGAGGATCGCCGGGTAGGATTATGCTATGCGATGATACTAGAACTTACCATCTACTCTCTTCTACATACTACAAGATGAAGGTTGCCAGAAGCGTAGTCTTCGATAGGACTAGCTATCCCCCTCTTATTCCGGCATTCTGCAGTTCAGTCCACATATGCTACGCCCTTTTCCAGTTGATACAAATGCATACATATGTAGTGTAGCTCCTTGCTTGCGAGTACTTTGGATAAGTACTCATGGTTGCTTTGCTTCCCCTTTTTCCCCTTTTCTATACCCGATTGTTGCGACTAGACGATGGAGTCTAGGAGTCAGACGCCACCGTCGACGATGACTCCTACTGCACTGGAGGTGCCTACTACTACGTGTAGACCGCGGACGACGACCAGGAATAGTTTAGGAGGATCCCAGGTATGAGGCCTGCGCCTCTTTCGATCTGTATCCCAATTTGTGCTAGCCTTCTTAAGGCAAATTTGTTTAACTTATGTATGCACTCAGATATTGTTGTTTCTGCTGACTCGTCGATGATCGAGCTCTTGTATTCGAGCCCTCGAGGCCCCTGACTTGTAATATAAAGCCTGTATTATTTTAATTTATGTCTAGAGTTGTATTGTGAATCTTCCTGTGAGTCCTTGATCTTGGTAGTACACATTTGCATGCATGATTAGTGTACGGTCAAATCGATGGCGTCACAGTCCGGAAGGACAACGAGGAAGGTGATGACCACGGCGGGCCGTCCGGGGGTTGCATCTGTGCCCAGCTTGACAGGCGGTGCCGGGAGTAATGGACCGAGTCAGAGCAGATTCTCGGCGGCCGCTGCCTGGCTGATACATGAAACATATTCCCGCCCTGCTCTACATTATAAGTCAATCAGCCGAACTAGGGCGGCCTCGGCAACGGCGTTCATCGCCGCCTCCACCACACGATGAATCTATCGCCCACGGCGGCGATCAAAACCTAGGAAGGGTCCAGCCCTTGGACGATGGCTCGTTCAGGCTCATCTAGGGTTCGAAGAGGAGCCGCACTCGGACCGACATCCCGCACGGGTGCAAGTCGGTCCCCGTGCTTGCCCACCGTCTAACGGCATCCGCCGCCGCCACCACCCGTGGGATCAACCGTGACGAGAAGTGAAAACTAGCGCGCACTTCAGCTTTTTTTCTAGTGCCACTTAAATTCGAACGGGCACTCAGATGGGTGGTCGCGGGTTTCACTAATCAGCTACTGAAAGTTAAAATTGATGTCTGACGTCCGACGATGGATGTACTATCGACTTGGGACTTGGGACGATGACCGTTGTACGTATATGAGAAGTTGTGGGTATGTATACTGTTGAATATATGAGCAAATTACTACGAGATTTAATCCGAATAAACAGAATATAAATCATGACCACAGCAGCAGAGATTAAACTAGTCATGCGAACTAGCATAGCAGATGAACATATCACATCTAGGGCACATACTAGAAACATGAATTCTACCACGATCTCGAACAGGAAGGACAGAATCACATACGGTGCAGCGGGTGCAGCACCGCCGGCGTTGATGTTGTCGCCCATGTCGTCGAGGATGAGGTTGCCGAGGTCGGGGAAGAAGTCGTCGTTCGCGAAGTCGTCGCTGCCAGCAGTCGCGCGAGTGCGCTCCCCAAAAACCTGATCGCCCCTCTCCCGTACAGGATCACGAGAGGCGGGGTTCCGGAGGCCTGCTGTCCCTTCTTGCGGTGCACGCCGGAAGGAGGGATGGAGAAGTCTAGCTTGGCGGCGCAATGATCTGGAACGGTGATGAGAAACCATACGAAGCGGCGGCTAGGGTAGACGTCTGCCTGACTACATATATTGCGGGCCGGGTCGTCGGAAACGGTTCAGTAATTAACGCGCCCATTAATTATTAATTAATGACTCATTAATTTTCCCATGCAGCAAAAATATAGACAACGTGCATAGCTCTGTCCTCGGCTCGGCTCAATCCCGCAACCCGCGGCGCGGCGCGGCGCGTCGTGACGAGGCGTGGCGCGCGTGTAGGTCTCCTCTTCTCATGCTCATACAAGTGGTAGAAGAGCTCACCTTATAAAGAGGTGCAACTCTCTCTCAACTTCCAATGTGGGACT